ACGTAAAATTTTCTCCGTCGTCATCCAACACACATCCAAACTCTATAACTTCCATCTGAAAATTCTCTCCAATATACTTTCAACCAAAACCCATTTACACTTCACCTTTCTATACTTATATACTAATGATCTCTATCCATGCTGCAATATGTTTTCTGAAACAACATATCATGTTTGGCTTTGCAAAAAAAGTTATCCAGCAATAACTTAAATTCTTAGTAATACTATAGCTCAGGCCACATTTACCTTCAGAAATAATAAAAACTTTGATCCAAAAATCTTTCAACAACCCATTAACTCTTCCCTCTTTTATATAAATCTAGCTCTTGGATTCTTAAATATCAATTCTTGCTTTAAAAATTTCAAACCATCCACCACAGACTTAAAAACATTTAGTAAACTACAAAATGATCTTCTCAATACAATTTACCAGGAAATCTGAATTCCCAGAAACAAAATATAATTAAAGAGAAAGAAATATATAATATCTTCTGCTCTGACAAACTAAGGAAAAACAATCCAACACATTCTCCAAACACAAAAACCAAAGGAAAAAACATTCCAACAAACAATCCCCCAATCCTAACTTAAATAAACTTTTTAATATAGTTACTAAAACATTCTCAGAAAATCTATCTATACCCTTCTTGGATAGAATAAATTATTAAAAAGGCATTAGCCCTCCAAACATAGATAATTCCTTTTGTTTTCCTTTTCATAAAAGATTTTTTCACAAAATATATCTATATGGTAGTAGGCTGACATGTATAGTAATATATCTCAAAATCTAAACATTAATTATATAACAAATATTTCTTACTCAATTAATAAAGATCATGAGAAATGCCTCACTTAATATTTAAAAAAAAATAAAAATTATAATTATCAATTTATAAACGCAATTAATTTTATTAAAGTAAATTAAATTAAAAACATTCTATTAACTTACTGTAACATAATTTAATAAAATATTAAGTTTAATTTTATTTATCCAATTTATTAAAGTTTTATTCTGATATTTCTTATGATGATGAAGTAATTAAACATTGACGTAATTAGCTTGATCAATAAGAACCAAAGCTGTTGAGTTTGAAGATCATAGATTCCATCCAAATGGCGTTTTACTCGGAGGTTGACAAAAATTTTAAGCAACTTTACGAGAATAGAGAGAACGGCGACGTGATAATTTATGCTGGCGAGGAGCTTAAAGAGCTTCGCGCTCATTCTCAAGTTTTACTTACTTATTCTTCTTATTTCCGTGGAGTGCTTTCATACGAGGGAGCAAAGAATTATGATGGGCATTTTATTCTTAAAAAGTCTAACATCCACGCTTCGACGTTCGAAGTGATTCTTAAGTATGTTAATCATTTATTGTAAATGCTAATTATTAAAGGAACTAAAATTTGTTGTGCACATAGGTTTGCCTATTGCGGACCTACAGATCTTCATGAACTAGATAATGCGGTGGTTCTCAAAGTTTTAGCCGCTGCAGAAGAACTAGGATTTCATAAACTTATTAACTACGTCGAGAAATATATAATTAAAAATCTCAATGATTTTTCACGAGAGGATCCTGTGAAAATGTTACACATTGTTGCTAGCCATGAGACGTTCGAAGATCTTAAAGAAATTTGCGTGGAAGCCATCCTTACCGAGCCAGACATCTTATTCGACTCAGGAAAATATTTAACATTAGAAGAGAACGCATGGATATTGATTCTTAAATATGACGAACTTATAATAGATGAACTTGAAATTTGGGATTATGTGATTAAATGGGGAATCGCTCAAGATCCTAAACTCAAAAGCAAT